AAAAAATTCTCCTTCAGCATGCTTTCAGCTATTTCATGTTCAGCTCCTCAAGGACATTCATGCTTCTATTCAGACATTTTCTCAACTTCATACTTTTGAAATATGTAGCTTTATTTTGAAAGTTACGCACCATTCAAATGAATAGGACAATTCTACCTCTGTATACTTTGGACTATTTCAGATATTAAAATGTTCAGCTCTTCAAGGACATTCATGCTTCTATTCAGAACTTTTCGAAACGTCATACTTTTAAAAAATTTTGCTTTATTTTGAAAATCTTGCCCCATTCAAATGAATGGGAAAATTCAACTTCAGCATAATTTCAGCTATCAAAATGTTCAACTCCTCAAGGACAATCATGCTTCTTATCAGAATTTTTCAAAACTTCTTCCTCTTGTAATATTTAGCTTTATTTTGAAAGTCTTGCTCCATTCAAATGAATGGGAAAATTCTACTTCGGCATAATTTTAGCTATCAAAATGTTCAGGTCTTCAAGGACATTCATGCTTCTATTCACAAATGTTCTAAACTTCATACATTTAAAATATTTAGTTTTATTCTGAAAATCTTGCTCCATTCAAATGAATGGGAAAATTCAACTTCAGAATAATTTCAGCTATCAAAATATTCAGCTCTTCAGGGACATTCATGGTTCTCTTCAGAACTTTTGTAAACTTCATACTTTTGAAACATTGAGTTTTATTTTGAAAATCTTGCTCCATTCAAATGAATGGTAAAATTCAACTTCAGCATAATTTCAGCTTTTTCAGCTATCAAAATGTTTGGATCTTCAAGGACATTCATGCTTTCCTTCAAATGTTTTCTAAACTTCATACTTTAAAAATATTTAGCTTTATTTTGAAAATCATGCTGCATTCAAATGAATTGGAAAATTTTATTTCAGCATACATTGAGCTATCAAAACGTTCAGCTCTCCAAGGACATTTATGCTTCTCGTCAGAATTTTTTAATGCATAATACATTTTAAATATTTAGCTTTATTTTGAAAATCTGCACCGTTCAAATGAATGGGGGAATTCAACTTCAGCATATTTTCAGCTATTTCAAGTATTAAAATGTTCAGGTCTTCAAGGACATTCATACTTCTATTCAGAACGTTTCAAAACTTCATACTTTTGAAATATTTAGCTTTATTTTGAAAATCTTGCCCCATTCAAGTGAATGGGGAAATTCTACTTCAGCAAACTTTCAGCTATTTCAGCTTTCAAAATGTTCAGCTCTTCAAGGACATTCATGCTTTTGTTCCAAATTTTACTAAACTTCATACGTTTTAAATATTTAGTTTTATTTTGAAAATCTTGTACCATTCAAATGAATGGGTTAGCTTTATTTAGAAAATTTCCCCCCATTCAAATTAATGGCAAAATTGTACTTCAGCATACTTTCAGGTAGATATGCCTTTCAGGTGTCAAAATGTTCAGCATTTTCAGGGCGATCCTTCAGCACATGGCATCCACACGCATTTTCAACAGGAAATGCATTTCTCTAGTTTTTTATACATTACTGATGTTACTAATATGGCAGCTCATTCATTGTTCTCTATTTCATAACTACTCAAGTTTTTCTTCAGTTTGGACTTCATTGCTCCACCGTTTTGGGCCACATTCACCAACATCTTCCTAAGTGTTTTCTTAAATTTCCACCTTATCACCATTTAAAAGGCACAGGAGGCATGTTGATGCAGTTGGGATTAAATGTAAAAGCATGATCACTGTAGTTAGAGGAAAAGGTAAAAGTTTAATAATGAGGAAGTTTAAAGCATTAACAGTCATAAACTGTTCAGGAGAGTGTGTGTTAAGACAATCACATCACACATTTTTTTCTATAAACATTTATATATTTTTCTCTCAACAAAGATTTTAATATAAAAATTCATAAAATTAGAAATTTAATTTATGTAGTTTAATTACAACAATGTGCAATTTACAGTTCCAGTTTCTGGAGCTTCTTGTGACCATTAAATCTAACATGGATCTAAGTTTACTTAACACATTATAGAGGCTTATAACATAAGAATTCATAATGTACATTATTGTATGATGATACACAATCTAATTATTACTATACTTGCATTGATAGATACACTTTGTGACATGTCAGATACTTGTATGTCTTGAAGAATAGGGGTTCTCATTTCTACATTCAAAGTACAATGTATGTGTATGGATTGTCCAGCATGGTCTGGTACCAAGGCTGTCAGGACATGTACTGTATGTGTAGGGATTGTCAGGGCATGGTCAGGGTCTCTTCTGCTCAGGGTTTTGAGCCACAAACAGGGCAACAGTCTTCTCATCCCTCTGCCACTGATACCTACAGAAGAAGAAGTCATTTCATTTTTATAGGTAAAAACACTGTAAAAATCATTACTGCTAAATTTCCTCCTTTAAAACTAAAGTTGAATATTCAGCAGTTTTTACCCAGTAATGTGTACCCTGATTGAATAGGTTTGTCATTAACTGTTAATATTAACTCACTGGCTCTGTTCTGGAATAAGTAAACTGTATCCTGATGAAAGAGTGAACTCCTGCTCATTCATAGTTACTTTTGAGGTTCCCTCCTGAGAGACAGAGAGCGGAGGAGATGAGAAAAGAATTTTTTAAATGGCATGTTAAAAATGAGAGTTCAGATGCGGATACATCATACATAGAGACAGCAGCATCTAAGTAGTACAGACAGACTGCTGTATAGAACTAACATCACATTTACAGAACATACCAGTTGCCAAATCCATACATCACTCTGTCTTACTGTTGTCTCTGTCAGCCCAAGCCCAAACACCAATACCTGTTGGAGTCATAAGAAAGACAATGATAGCATCTTTGTTTTTTATGTATCACAACATATACCATCCACACCACATTCTACCATTGTCTTATACATTTACAATCAAATACATTGTGGCATATTTTTCATCTTTAATATTATATACAGTAGTCACAGAAAATTTCCACAAACAGGAAAATGCCAATATTGTCTTTTAGGATTATACGTGAGTTTCACTTTCAGTACAGTGTTAAAATGGTGCATTCTCTCAGCAGAATGTTTGCAACAAGATTCCCAGGAAAACCATAGCACCCTACTGTATGTGTGATGATAGCTAGAACCACATAGACTTCTTCATATAAACCTCATTAGAGGTCCCTATCACCTAGGTTATGGTTTGAAATTTGACACTAGACTATGTAAGTTACTGCAATGTCCAGTGCATTTTCACTGTGTGAATTGGGAGTGCATGTTTTTACAGAACAAGAGTTGTGTAGTTTCTCCCTCATTTTTTGCAGCGTAGTGACAGTCCAGGTGGAAATAGGGTTAGTGTGGAGAGTAGGAGAAGTGACAACAACCAAGACCTATTCTTACGTACACAGGGATACATCAATATTTAACACCACCTTGAAAAATCCTTAACTATTCCTTTATGGTTTATTGCTGTTATTTAAATGTAGGTACAGTGGAAAAAAAAGTAAAATCATGGCACTTAAACACATTGCACTTGTGTAAATACTGGGTGTTTATGAGGTATAGTACTAGGACACAAAACTGAAGTTTGGGGTAAATGGTCGTAACAGCACTGATATTCTATAATCTGTAGAGTATATGTAAGGTACTTCAGAGTTATGATAATGTATACTATCAAAACTGCACAGGTACAGTAAAGTAACAAAAGATATTTTGGAGAATCTCTTAAAACTCAAATTGAGGGGTTAAAATGAAATCAATATAAAATACATGAGTTACAATATGCTTGGGGCATAAATTGTGGAATACTGAGGGGCTTGTCAATGATTTATAGAGAACAGTCACAAACAGTATTTACTGGGGACTTCACAGGTTGACAGGTAAACATTGGCCCACTGCATGGGCAATTTAGCCCCACAGCCATGGTCTTTGGATTAACTACTATAAATGTTGTAGTTTCACTCTGTACCACTGAAAATTTTAAGGAAAACCACAACACCATACAGTATCTAATACTCACTGTGTGACATTTGAATTGATACCAAAAAGTACTGAAGTTCAAATGTTTTATGAAAGCACTAGTACCTCTGTCTCAAACTGAGCTCTGAACATGTCGACGGGCTTGCTGCTGGCCAGTGATGGCTTCTGTTTGTCCAGCCAGTCTTTGAAGGAGAAGGGTGACATCACATTTGTGGTGTTCAACTGGAACGGAGGCTCTCGGAAGACTTCATCTGTTCATCAAAACATAATTGGCTCTAGTTCAAAATTACAGGGGTTGTTGTGGCTCATCCAAATTTTTATAATTACAAGAAATTTCAGAACAACTAACTTGGATCAGGTTTCCCTGTTTTGTATTGCTTCGATGCCATGAATCTGTAAAATAAAAAATTTGACCAATAATAACTGTATTAAAACTAATAACTCAATTTGATGGAGGCTGTTTTTAAGTGAAGGGGGAAAGATGCCTTACTCTTTGATTATTGGCACCAGTTGGGTTCCTAAATCCTGACAGTAGAACCATTTCTCAAACAGGATATCTGTGGTGTTGTCTACATAGTACCTGAAAGCACCAGCACAGACTCATTTTAATTTGAAACACTTAAAAATCCTGTAAGACAAGAAATGAGCAGAGAAAGAAATACAGTAATGAACCTCAGGCAGTCAGTCTCAGTCAGGAGCCGTCTCCTCTCCACCACCAGTCCCACAGTGTTGGCCTGTCTTTGAGGGGAGTGGGGGATCCGAGCTGGCAGCAGGAACATCTACACATTGGGAAGAAATGAATGGAAAACAGACACAAATTTGACTGACCAAGATGCACTGGAACATTGTATATGTGAGCAGTTTATTTTGAATAGAAGAAACAATTCAAAGGAACAATGATTTCCTTTGAAGCTGTACTCCATAGAAAGCAATAATGTGCTATATTGACTTATTATGAATAATATACAACTATGGCAATGAAAAAAATATGTAAAAGCATGGTAGAGCTCACCTCTCCCTCTTTGATGTGCACATCCTTGTGTATGCCTTTTTCAACCACCTTCAGACACATGTCACCCTTCATTTGGTAGAACAACTATTTAGAATGAGGAGCAAGAATAGCATTAGATTAAAGGGGAACTCCACAAATTTAACACATCAGTGTAGGGCTGGGTAATATTCCAAAATTTTCAATATCGGTACCGAATACCTTGACTTTGATACCATTTCCTAAACAATGCTGTTTTCTATACCAACTTTATAAAATCAATTTTAACAAAAAATAAATAAATACATACATACAAATACATACAATTACATTTTGGTATAGATCAATAGTTTTAGTTTTCAGTTCCTTGGCATTTTTGTGCATGCAACACAGTTTAATAAAATAAAAAGTAAAGCTATTTACCACAACCTTAAGTTCTATTAACATTAACATCAATAAATAATAATGTAGAAAAGCGTTTTTTCTGGGGGGGGGGGGGGGTGAAATAATAAA